TGCTATTAGGAAAGTGGAAATTTTAATAATGGAGAACAGTGTTGTCTCTATGCACTTTAATGACTGATATTTTTTATGAAGTAATAAAAAGTAAAACAGAATAAACGTTTCGATGACTAGACACATACCATATCGTGTAAGATGTTTAGGTTATTAGAGAGGGTAGATAATTCAGTCTATGATATTCATTTGTGAGATAAGCTTACATATCTCAATAAATAATGATAGTTAAAATATAAAATTTTATTTGAATTTCCAGTTGTTCCTCCGAGGGAGTGTAGATAAGTTTCTGATGTCTACTAGAAAATCACTTGGAGATATACAGTTCATCAACATATGGCATGACAATAGTGGTCAGGGAGAAAATAAATCTTGGTTCCTTAATCAAATTGAGATCAAAGACTTGCAGACCAATGAGAAGTAAGTGGTGTTCTGTATGTGTGCCTGAAAAAATATTTATACTACCAGTCTGCCCATGTTGCAACATGTTGTGAGTAGTGGTGCATGGATTAATCTGTATAAGGTTACTGTCCCAATACATACCAAGGGCCAAGCTAATTTCCTCTACAATGTAACACTGTAACATATTAATTGCTACAATATTGATGCAGGACATGAAATCTCTCCCTAAATAGGCAATTGCTGATTTTGCATATCGTATTCCTATTACACTCGAACACATATAGTTGTTTCACACTTCAAGTAGTCTGTCTCGTGAACAAAGCACACGACAAATTTGACAATGTATAAAGTCGAACACTAATCAATGTACACATATGCCAGGTGAAATATATAATAGGATGCCACATTGCACATTTACTTAGTGTATTTTAGGTACTTAAGTTTTTTGTAAGTATTTTATAAAAAGTAACAATGAGGACAACAGACCGTGGGTGGTTGTTTACATTTATTAAATAAGTAATTTAACTGGGCTTAACCTAGACCCTGACTAGCTTATTGATTGAGCTCTGACAGTTCGATGAAACACTGTCAGCATTAAACAAGTGATACATCCAAAACCAAATGTTGAATGAGATGTTGTCTTTTGTGGCTTCTAGCTAACTTGGGTTTGCAGCCTTTTGTCGCCCTTCAAATAAATCTTGAATGATTTTCATAGTGTGTATGGCTGGAATAAGTTGGTTCCATAGTGTTTAAGTTAACTTGTAGTATGTGTATGACGTACATTGCATGCGATAAAACATATTATGCTAGTCCAACATATACAGAACACTTAAGTTGCAATATTTCAATATTTGTGATTTGTTTCACAGATTTTATTTCTTATGTGATCGTTGGCTAGCTGTTGATGAGGAGGATGGTAAAGTGGAGCGTCTTCTACCTGTTGCTGGTAGAGACAACCTGATTAGCTTCGAACACATGTTCTCCACAAGTACACGTAAGAATTTATCCGAGAATCACCTCTGGTTCTCTGTAGTTTCCCGGCCTACACGCAGCGGTTTCAGCAGAGTACAACGGATTTCGTGTTGTTTTTCACTGCTTTTCTTGACCATGATAACGAGTGCTATGTTCTATAAAGAAGATGAAGAAGCTGAAGCAATGTCAACAGGAAAAGGCATCAAACTTGGGCCAATCAGTTTAAGTTTTAAAGAGATCTGGGTTGGTTTTGTTAGTGTTCTGATAGTGTCACCTGTCAGCATCATTATCATACAAATATTCCGCAAAGTTGAACCCCCACCTGGAGATGTAACGTTACTCTCTGGATTACGCGATGTCCGAAAGCTTGTACGAAAGAACATACGCGAAAAGAGAAATAGAGACAACATGATACTCCTGGAACTGGAAGATGGTGAATTGACACAGTCAGAGAAAGGCAAGCCAGATAAGGGTAGGCTGCGGTGGTATTGGGCATATGTTGCTTATCTACTTGTGGCATTGTCGATTCTAATTCCAGCAGCATTTGTTGTCATGTACAGTATGCAATGGAAAAAAGAAAAATCTAACAGATGGTTGACATCTATGTTTGTTTCTGTATTCAACTCATTATTGGTAACAGAACCCCTTAAGGTGAGAATTATTCACAGAATCTTATAGTATTGCGATTCATACATCTATAATTGTAGCGATAACAGCCGTATATTCGTTACTCGAGAAAATTAAAACAAAGTGAGTATGTTGACCGAACTCAAAACATCGTAAACAATGTCCATGTATGAAATGAATGAATATTTATGAAAAAGGGTATTATGATTAAAACCATTCACAAACTTAAGCTCACTTCTTGTCTCTATGTAGTCATTCCAGAACTGATGATCGTTGAAATTGCCTAGGCAGGTTGGCGGCAATATTATGTAATTGACAGTTACTAAAAATCTGGCAAATCTAGTTTATATTGTCACCAATTGTTCCCCCAATGCTACATATAGTTAGATTTGGACTAATATAGACAAGTATTAGCCATGTCTGCCATCCTGACAAAATTTGTCATTGTATCCGCTGTCTACACATTGTCCTTTCGGGTATCTACAGTCCAATAACTACGAATTGTTGTAACGATGGTTCACATTGGCAAGCTCACGTTTGTATTTTCGAGATTATTATTCGGTCCCTCCAAAAAATTGGTTGACATTTTGAAAAATCCTAGCGTGATTATTGCGTGCAGCTCGGATTGATACTAAATTCGGGTGGTAATCACTCGTGTCTGCTGATGTCAACTGAATGTTATAATAAGGGACAGGTCGTAGCAACTGAAAATGTGATTTTCTGTACCCTTCTTCTATGACGTTTTGGTTTATAGTGGTTCCATTTCGGAATGTTAATCCAGAGTCTGTACGCAACTAAGGAAGACGAACAATTGTCGGATGGCTGCCCATGTTTAAACCATACATTGAAGGAAACCAAATACTGGTATAAAACTATAGACATACGGTAACTGTACCTGAGTGCACGAATAAATATATAAATCCCGGTATATGTGCTAACCAAATGGCAAGGATTTTGAAAGACTAACTATTTGTATTTATAGGTAGATATTTTCTAACATAGACAAATATTGGCCTTAGTACCGCTAATCTAGTCCCTACCAGAACATTTAGGATACGAACCTTGGTAAAACCTAGGTAAAAAAAAAACATTTTTTTTTTCTGGGCCAAAAGGGGGGGGGGTATATATTAGTCTTCTAATAGTATTGCACTTCAATGCTTAATGTTTTCATTCACTGCAGTCAGGTCTCCAGCTTACATGCCATTTGGCGACAAATAATTTGAGCTATGAAGTAAAATAGCTTAGTTCTGTGCGGGCAGCCATTTTTTGTTTCGTTAACTGCCTTGCATAGTCTTGTAAATCATTATATTGAAATGTCGTTATGAGATAAAGTGGCTAAAATATTTCAGTAATAATTTGTAGTACATGTGTGCTCTTTCGTCCAAATAAAATATAACGACCACGTGACAAAGTAATATTAATAGTAACATTTCTGTACTTTTGATTTATTTTCGTCTCTAGGTTGTTGCTGTGGCGTTTATCATGTCATTGTTGTTTAAAAAGCCAACTGAAGAGCAGGATACTGACGATGGGGAGGAAGAGACACTAGAGCAGATCAAAAACATCCGTGGGCAATTAGGTGGAAATAAGATCCCGGAACGTGAGCAGGAGGACAGTGATGATGAAAATGGTAAAGTTGTCCATTATTGTTGTAAAATACAATTCATTTAACGAAATAAAATAATCAAATACCTTTTTGTCATGTCATCGATTGTCATGGTTCTACAGTGCAGGTTAATGAAATAATTACCTTTATATTCTGCTCAACAAATGAACTCTCGCCAAGCATAACATTTGACACCATGCAAACTCGATCAACGTGAGAAATACAACAAGGCATTTATGGTAAAATGTCCTTCCATTTTATGCTAGTCTGATTTTGATAGAAACCTATTTTATTGTTATAATATATCGATTTATATATAGGGGATATAGTATACAATTTAAACTTCACACACAATCACTTCAAAATCGTAGTTTACGACGTATGGGTTATACAATTGTTTAAGGGGTTGTTGAAAAGTGACTGTCGGTTGACCATCTTCAAGAACTGTAAAATTGTCTGGTCCATAACTAACTGGCTATTTTGGCACTGGAGGTTTACGAGATCGTCTATAACAAGAAAGGCAGCTGTTATTCAATTGTCAAATGTTTTGATTGGTCGGAAACAAACACAAACTTGAAACCAACCATAAACAATCAAGTACGAGAGCTGAGCTGATACATTGCTTCTGGAAGCAAAGGGTTTACTTTGTGGGCATGGACACAAACTGGAATAGATATGTCACTCATTATATGCAGCATCTTTGTGACAAATGAGTTTGACAATTATAGCACACATATACAAAATTTACTACGTTAATGTTTATTTGAACATAATTCTGCTAATATGTATTTATATTAACTATCTATTTTGATTTCCAGAAAATACTTTGGAAAATAGTAAAATAACTCGAGCTCTGGAATTACAAATGCAACGAGTCATCAAAGAGATCATTGGATATATTCTCTTTATGATATTACTGATAGCAATATGTCAAAACAACGCTGATCCACGCAAACACTACTTGCACAAATCTCTGACAGATTTATTAATTGATTCAAATTATGATGGTGTAAGTGTTTTAATTTATTAAGAATTTGAAATTCGTTTTCTGTATTATGGAAATGTTGTAGAGTTTCATTGACACATATATATTGTTAGAAAAATATAGAATAAGCAACAGTGCAACATTGCCAGATAAATTGTTGAGAAACAACAAGATTCAAAACAGTTTATGAAAGATATTGATTTGTTATGAATATCTAGCACGCAATAAGAAAAGTTGACAAGGCTCAAATTAAGCCAGTCAGAGGAGTAATATAATAATCAAATAATATTGTTAATTTCCGTGTTCCCCATTGCCTGCATTGATTTAATTGCTTATACTTCACAAAATAATACACATTTAATTCTGTTTGTAGATAACTGAAAGTGGATCAATGTTTACTTGGTTGGATCAAACAGTGTTGCCTAGTCTATATCCACAGGTCTGGCCAAATGGTAAAACACTGAAATGGAACGAACAACTGAACATACAAACAATGTCGGCTATACGAGTTGGACCACCACGATTACGTCAGCTCCGAATCCCACCTGGTAAGTCGTTTTTAAGTATTGCATAAACAGCTCAAGTAAAATTTGTATCATGATTTATAAATTAGTAAACCATTGAGAATGTATTACCGATTCTAGTAGGTTTATTTAACTTTATTAATTGTGTTGATATCATTATTGTCTCGTGAATATTTGTGAATTTGTATTTGTGTAAAAAAAAAATTAAAAAAAAAAACATTTTTGAACTGAAATTCAATGTCGTTAAAATAAATATGTAAAGGTGTTGTCAAGTAGTATTTAACTTCAATTAACAACTAGAATATGCAGGATAGGACGTCTGACGTTAGTAATTTGAAAGTAAAATTTTTCGACTGCACTGGAAGGACGCCAACGTATATTAATGCAATGTGTAAATCGACATTTTTCACTCTCTACAGAATTTGACAAAATCAATCACTGATAAATGTATGACAGATAAATTCATTCATTTGTAAAACAAAAATTTGATTGTTGTAATTCAATCTTGCAAGGCATGCATTGACAGAAATTGAACAAAATCCAATCTGTACAAATTGATGCAGCTCGTCGCTTTATTCACACTAAACAGACTGATTGCATTACCATACAATTCAAATCATGCGTTATTATTTTCAAGATTGCTTATTATTCTGATGCTTTGAGTATTCAAAACGACGTGCAAGCACGTTCTCTCAGTTCATTTGAATGTTTGGGCGCCTTGTCAAGAAGAACATTCAGAAAAAATATGGCTGGCGGGTATTCACTATTGTTTCCAACTTTTTTTGCAAGCGCAAATTAACCCGCAGATTGTTCTTGTTATACATCGTGACTGATCTTATTTAATGTATGTTTTAGCTGAGTACTTTACTATTTTATTTCTTTTAATGTTCGGCACAGTGCGACGCAGTACAAAAAGGAGCAACATTGTATTTGTCTATGTTAGTTATGTTTAAATAAAATACATGTATGACCCACTATTCAGAGTCCAGTGTTATAGTCAACTTTATTTCAGATACCCTTTTAAGTTTTAAAATATACTTAGGTTACAATCACATTCAGTTGGGGACGTTTTCTTTGTAGGTCTCTGCGATGTGCCGGAAATCACGCAGCGTGATGTAAGCGAGTGTAATATTGAATATGCAATGTTTGACCAAGAAGAGGGAAATTTTGGCTTGACTTGGAGCAACGATAGTGTTTTTATGTCAAATGAGAGTCTTCTTCAAACTGGTGGAAACCCATGGGCATACAGGTACATACTATATCTGTTTATGTTAAAATTGAATAATGTATTATAGTTATTGATTTTTTAATTACGTGATTGAAATTAAAAAATTTAATATACCATATTTACATTGTTTCAATCACATTTTAGTTATGACACATCGACAATGATTGCTAGGAAAAGATAGATAAACAAATTTGTTTCATAGTGGTCAATGAGCGTAATTAATTTCTATATGTTATTTTAAACTACAGAAGCGCATTTGACCTTGGTGGTTCTCCCATAACCGGTAAATTTGCCACTTACAGTGGTGGCGGCTACGAAGCTGTACTGGGAAAGAATCTACTTGAAGCGCAGAGTGTTATACAATATTTGTTTGAAAATAGATGGACCGATCGGTACACACGTGCTGTGTTCCTGGAGTTCACCCTATATAACGTCCATGTCAATCTGTTCGTATACAGTATAATCGTATTGGAATATCCATCTGCAAGTTCGGTTTCACCATTTTACCAAATAAATGTGTTCCGAATGTATGATTTCCAGGGCAATGTGTTCTACGTCATATTTTTGATGTCGGCGTATGCGGTGTATGCCATTTATTTAATGTACAGCTGTATTATGATATACTCGGCACTACGGTCTGTGGGAAGAATGTACCTAACCGCATTTTGGAATCTCATTGACTTTGCCCAGACTGTCCTTGGACTAGCTCTGGTGGTGATGTACTTTCTAAGATATGGTTCCACCAAAATGTATGTTGGAAATCTATCAAATAATGACAGTGAGTAACTGTTTTACTATATACGTTTCCAAGAAAAATTTTCCCAACAACTATACACGACGCACTTAACTGATTAAATTAAACTTGGTTCATAATCCACATACCCCGCACAATAAATATATTTATTTTGTGATAACATTTGTAGTACTGGGAATCACACAGTCTTAATCTTTCTTATATATATATATTAGCAAATGGACCACAAGATCTCGTTGAGAACGAGGGGGCCACTCGAGTTGTTTCTTGCTCTCAAAATAGTGTTCCAAACTTTACTGTCCTCACGTCCACTGTTCAGCTGGCCTATGTAATCATGGTATTCAAAACAATTAACACGATGGCGGCAAAGAATACTATTTGGTGAACAATAACATTTCGCGTCACTCTCACTCTAAACGAGATCTTGGTGCCATTTGAAATATGGCATGATAATGTCATTATCTGGCAAACCATTTTAGCCCAACCTTTTAAAAACGTCAGACAGATTTAAAATTGTACACATTTTCTGTACACATCCCGGACAAATAAAATGTATTACTTTCGTTCCAGACTATAATCGTTACTATTCATCAACATACAATATCAGTATTCTGTTTTATCGCTCGTATTGCATTTAATTATTCTAATTGATACAGTGTGTAATTATTGAGTAGTTCCCTTAAGTGTAACTATTGATCTTCACAGGAAACGAGTTTGTAAATTTCCAGTATATTGCCATGCTCAATGAAATCTACACCTTGTTTATGGGACTAGTACTCTTTCTGGCAATCATTAAGATGCTCAAACTGCTACGTTTTAACAAACGCATTGGTATGTTAGCAGCCACCATCGCCTACGCCTCGGAAACTCTAATACCGTTCAGCTTCATGTTTCTGCTAGTATTGATTAACTTTGCATCCTTTGGCTACCTGGCATTTGCACCGTTAATGCCTGAGTACGAGTCATTCGGCACTTCATTGACATCCCTGATGCTTACTTTCGTCGGCAAGTTTTATCTGGAAAATCTCAGCAAGAGCATTCTGGGACCGATCTACTTCGTCGTCTTTTCCATCATTTGTTTCTTCATCTTACTCAATATGTTGATAAGTATCATTGTTGACGCCTTCGCTGAAGTTAGGAAGGACATATCTAAGCAGAGCAATGAATACGAGATTATTGATTTCATGGTAAGCCGATTTAAA